GTACACCAGAAGAATCAATCAGTAGAGTGAAGACAGAATGGGAAAAAACTTTGCCAGGCACTCCTAGGAGGAGTAGAGTATACAAAGAACTCAAAAAAAGTAACACCTAAAATTAAAGATCCAGTTAAGAAATGAGCAAGAGAAATGAACATACTTCACAGAGGAAGAAATAGAGTGAACAAATACATGAAAAAATGGCCAACATTAAAGAAATTCAAATTAAAACAATGCTCAGATTCCATCGCACTCCAGAAAGAACAGCAATCATTAAGAAAACAAACAATAACAAATGCTAACAAGACTACGGTTAAAAAAAAAAAAAAAAAAAAAAAAAGGAACGCTTTATTGTTGGTGAGAATGTAAAGTAGTAAAACTATTATGGAAATTTCTCAAAGACCTAAAATTTGAAATTCCATACAACCCAGAAATCCCATACTAGATATCTTCCCCAAAGAGTTTAAGATGTCATACTATACTACAGCAATATATGTATACAATATTTACAGCAGCAGCACAATTGATAACAGCTAAATATTAGAAAAAGTCTTTATACTCATCAACAGATAACTAGATAAAGAAAAACTGGTATCTACGTACAATGGAATACTACTCTACTATAAGTGATGACAGATTTGAGACATTTGTAGGAAAATAGATGCACCTGGAAAATATATTGTATTAAATCAGACACACAAGTGTACATGCCATATAGTATCTCTCACTTGAGAAAGGAGAAGCACAAAGACTATTAGGAAGGATGGACAGAAGGGGACAAGGACATGAATCTCTTACAACACGGAAGTGGTCCAAAGGAAAAAGTGCAAGGGGTTAGGAGAAGAGGAAGGGGAAATAAGTAAAATAAAGATATGCCAGGTACAGGGGCCTAATAACTTCAATTAATGAAAACATTACATACCATAACATGAGTTAGGATCCATTATATCAATGACAATGAAAAATAGGATAGGGGAATTGGAGGAAGAGGGAAAGGGAATGGATTAAAAAAAGCAAGCTGTGATATATAAATGTACCTACTCCCATGATGACTGTGAACGATGAATTAAAGTTTAACAAAAAAATTTTGTAAGTAATTAAAAAAAAAACAATACTGCAATAGCTACAATGATGAGGAAGATAAGTTTCAGAAACATCTGCACTATCAAGAACTTCATTATGGGATGAAAGTTTCAGAGAGAAGCGCTACATCTCAAAGATGCTTCAGACTTCCCCCACACCCACACCCTCATGAGAGCAGAGCTGAACTCCAGACAGCTCCAGCAGCCTGGGTGACTGCACCCTCAACCCTCCCCCACCAAAGTGGGAACCGGGCTGGGTCTCAGCCAGCATCTTGAGCCTTGACCACAACCCGCCCTCCCTACCACCACCCCACAACCTTACTAAAGTGGAGCTAAATCATAGACAACTACAGGAACCTCCATCAGCCACCAGTACCCCTCCCCCATCAGCAGGGAAGCCAGGCAGAGCCCTGCAGAGCTTCAAGGGCCTCAGTGGCCACTGCCCAACCCCATCCAGCACCCTCGAGGGAGCCTAGCTGAAACCTGGACAGCTTCAGCAGACTGAGTGACTGTGCCCTCACCCCTCCCCCACTGGTGTGGGAACTGGGCTAGGCCCCAGACAGCTTTGGGAGCTATGGTGACCAAACTCCACCCACTACCACAACCTTGGGGAAGAGGGGGCTGAACCCCAGACAGCTCTGGGAACCCCCCATGGGAGCTGTACACAAGAAACACATTTTACTCAAAAGGAAATTCACAGACTAAATATCAAAGGATGGAAAACCATACTCCATGTGACAGGAACCAAGAAAAAGGCAGGTGTAGCTATTCTGTTCACAGACAATGTGAACTTCAAACCAAAAAACGATCAAAAGAGAGAAAGATGCCCACTACATACCTGTTAGGGGAAAACTTCAAGAGGAAGAGACAACAATCATAAATATCTATGCACCAAATATGGGAGCATCCAACTATATAAGACAAATTTTAACATACATGAAAAATGAAATAAGCAGTAACACAATTACAACAGGGGATTTAACACCCCACTGTCACAAATATATGCACTAGACAAAAAATTAGCAAAGAAATAACAGAATTAAACCAAATTTTTAAACAAATGGACTTAGTAGACCTTTCACCCAACAACATCAGAATACACATTCTTCTCAGATACACATGGAATGTTCTCTAAAATAAACCGTATACTAGCCCATAGAACATGCTTAAGTAATTGCAAAGGAATTTAAATTATCCCATGCATACTATCGGACCATAGTGAAATGAAATTGGAAATTAATGCCAAAAGAAATCACAAAAACTCCATAAACACATGGAAATGAAATAACACTCTCCTGAACAACCAATGGGTCACAGATGAAATTGAAGAAATTACACAATATGTATAATCAAACAAAAATGCAGATACAACTTACAGGAACCCACAGGATGCAATGAAAGCAGTCCTCAGAGGGAAATTTATAGTGGTGAATTCCCACCTCAGGAAAACAGAATGAGTACAAATAAACAATTTAATGCTGCACCTCAAGCTTCTAGAAAAAGAAGAGCAAGTCAAGTCCAAAGCCCAATGAAGGCAGGAAATCATAAAAATCAGAGCAGAAATTAACTCAATTTAGACTAAGAAAATATAAAGAACTAAGGTGTCAATGAGTTGGTTCTTTGAAAAAATAAATAAAATTGATAAATGCCCTAGCCAACTTTACCAAAAAAGGAAAGAAAAAACTGAAAATCATGCAATAAGGAATGAAAGGGATGAAATCACTATAGATCCTTTAGAAATTTAGAAGATCACCAATACCTACTTTGAAAATCTTTACTCTCATAGGAAGGAAAACACAAAGGAAACAGACAGATTCCTAGATAGAAATGAAATACCAAAGCCAAATGAAGAAGATATAAAAATCCCGAATAACTCAGTATCAGCCAGCAAAATTGAAAATTTAATAAAAATCTTACCCACAAAGAAAAGCACAGGTTCTGATGGATTCACAGCAGAATTCTATAAGAAATTTAGAGAAGATTTAACACCAATTCTTCTCAAACTCTTTAATGAAGTTGAAAGGGTAAAAAAAAGAGAACTAGGCCAATTTCCCTAATGAATATAGATTAAAAAATTCTCAATGAAATACTAGCAAACAGAATGCATCATCAAGAGGATTATACACAATGACCAAGTGGGATTCATTCCAAGAATGCAGGGATGGTTCAATATATGCATTAATTAATGTAATATGTATCAATAGAGCCAAAGAAAAAGTCACATGATTATCTCAATAGATGCAAAAAAAGCTTCTGATAGAAGTCCAACATTCATTCATGATAAAAACCCTACAGAAAACAGGAAAAGATGGTTTTTACCTTACTCTGATAAAAGTCATCTATGGCAAACAAACAGCCAACATCATACTAAATGGACAAAAATTGAAAGCTTTCACTTTAAAATCAGGAACAAGACAAGGATGTCCACTGTTGCCACTCCTATTCAATAGTTTTGAAAGTACTAGCCAGAGCAATTAGACAAGAGAGAGAAACAAAAGGAGTAAGGATAGGAAAAGAAGTGAAATCATCATTATTCACAGCTGACATGATGTTCTACATAGAAGACTTCAAAAACTCTACCAAAAGGCTTACAGATTTAATAACCAAATTCAGCAGCACAGCTGGATACAAAGTCAACACTCAAAAATCCATAGCATTCCTGTACACAAACAACAAACAGACTGAGAGAGAAATTAGGGAAACCACACCTTTCACAACAGCATTCAAAAAGATCACATACTTAGGAATCAACCTAACAAAGAAACTAAAAGATCTATATAGTGAAAATTACAATACTCTTTTAAAAAAAAGATTGAAAGATCAGAAAATGGAAAGATATTCCTTGCTCATGGATAGGAAGAACCAATATTGTGAAAATGGCCATACTCCCAAAATTGTTGTACAGATTCAATGCAATCCCAATTAAAATACCATTAGTATACCTCACGGATCTAGAGAAAACATTCCTAAACTTCATCTGGAACCAGAAGAGGCCTAGAATAGCAAAAGCAATCCTGGGAAACAAAGGAAAGGCAGGAAGCATCACAATCCCTGACTTGAAATTCTACTACAAAAATACTGTGATAAAATTAGCATTGTACTGGCAAAAAAACAGTAGACCAATGTAACAGTTTAGAAGATACAGACACAACTACTAACATACTCAGCCACCTTATCTTTGACAAAGGGGCCAAACATGTTCACTGGAAGAAAGATAGCCTCTTTAATAAGTGGTGCTGGAAAAACGGGCTTTCCACATGCCAACAACTAAAACTAGACCCATGTGTAAACTAACGTCAAAATGGATCAAAGACCTAAGTATTAAAACAGAAACACTAGCAAGCGCAAGGTCGTGAATTCGGTTTCCAGTACCGGAGAAAAACAAACAAACAAAAAAAAAAACAGAAACACTAAATGTACTGGAAGAGAAAGTAGGTAGAAATCTTGAAGATATAGAGATAGGCAGTTCATGAATAAAAACCAAACTGCACAGGAAATACTTCAAAGAATCAACAACTGGGATCTCACCTTACTGAAAAGTTTTTGCACATGAAAAGAAATCACCAGCAAAGTAAAAAGGAAATCCACAAATTGGGAAATATTTTAGCCAACTGCCCCTCAGACAAAGGACTTCTATCTAGCACATATAAAGAATTTTAAAAAATCAGGCCCTCAAAATTCAAAGACCCAATCCAAAAATGGGCATCTCAGATGAATACACACTTTTCACATGAACAAATACTAATGGCGAATAAATATATGAAAAAATGTTCAACATCACTGGTCTTTTGAGAAATGTAAATTAAAACAACACTGAGATTCCATCTCACCCCAGAAAAAATGGCTGTCATCAAGAAATCAACCAAGAACAAATGCTGGAGGGCCTGTGGGGAAAAAGGAACTCTTCTCCACTGCTGGTGGGAGTGTAGACTGGTGAAACCACCGTGGACATCGGTGTGGAGATTCCTCACAAAACTAGGATTAGAAGTCCCTCTTAACGCAGCCATTCTCCTTCTTTGCCTAGAAGAATTAAAAACATCACACCACAGCGATATATGTGCACCCATGTTACAGCAACACAATTTGTTATAGCAACCCAAATGCCCATCAACCAAGGAATGGATAAAAAGATGTGGTATTTTTATACAATGGAGTATTACTCAGCTATAAAAAAGATAAACTAGAGGCTTTTACAGGTAAATGTATGCAACTAGAGTCCATACTCGTAAGTGAAATAAATCAGACCCACATGTATAAACATTGCATTGTCTCCCTAGTGTAAGAACCTGAAAGAGTAAATAAAACTCAAAACGTACAATAGACATCATGAAAGTGGAAGAAATTGTTCAAAGAAGGAACTGGGATGAAGGAAAGGAAAAAAAGAAAGAAAGAAGGAAAATATATACATATAAATGTACATAGAAGGATAGCTGCGATAATTGTACTGTTGAAGTCTAATGGTTTACTGAAAGGACCAGTTAATGCCTAAGTTTTTTCTACTGTTTGACCAATTTTTCGTGCTTATATCTGGTAATCTGAACAACGAATTTGAAGACAACAATATGCAATGTAACAATCATTGGTGAATTCCTACCATCCAGTGAAACTGTATCATTTCCAAAGTGTTGTTTTTTTTTTAATTTTTATTCTCTTCTATGGTTTGATCAATCTTGCATTCTTACATGTGGTACTCTGAGCAACTTCACTGAAAATAACAATATGTAATATAACAGCCACTACTAATTCCTATCATTTTGTTGTGAAACTCTGTATTATTTTTATTGTTTTTGCTTTGTTTTGTTTTTGTCTATGTTGGTATTTTTCTATTGTTCTTTTTTTAAATTCTCTTTAAAATAAAAAAATTTAAAAAGATGCTTCATTTCTGAATGGTAAATCCTTCACATTCCAACTGCAACCCAACAAATGCCAACCATACTTTCTTTCTGAAGAGTGAACTAATCAGATTACCTTGCTGCTGCCTCTTTAAAAAACTTGTTAGAATTTGTCCTAAATATTCATAAATAATATCCCCCACCAAACATTTTAAAATCTTCTTTGCGGGGCTGGGGATTTAGCTCAGCGGCAAAAGCGCCTGCCTGGCAAGGGCAAGGTCGTGAGTTCGGTTCCCAGTACCGGAGAAAAACCAAAAACAAAAAATCTTCTTTGGAACTGTTTTTAATAGTACATATGGGGTTATACATGTAATAAAATCATTTACTGAACACTGTGCTAGGCACTTTGCTCTCTATTCACCTTCCCTCAAAGATGTTCAATTAGTCCTTGCTTACAAATCAAGAAAGGGCTGGGCACAGTAGTACACACCTGTAAACCTCGCACTTGGGAGGCCGAGGCAAGAGGATCACTGTGAGTTCAAAGCCAGCCTGAATGGCATAGTGCCTCACAAAGACAAAAAAAACAAAACAAAAGCAAATCAGGAGAGGACTTACATAAGGACCTGGGAGTAAAGAGTTTTAAGCACAGCTCATATTCCAAACCCAGCCTCTTTCCACTCGCAGTATATTTGCTACCTTTTAAATTCTAATGCCTGTAACAAACAGTTACACATCACTCAGGTCCTTCATCTCAAGACAAGTCAGTGAAAGGCAGCGGCCAGCTGCTAAACAGCACCTAAAAAGTTGAAAAGAAATGAAATTCAACAAGTGACTAAATGACAGTACAGCCTTTACATAGTAGATGGTTCCGCCTTGATAAAGAATAACGTAAATGCTGCATTTCTTAATATAGAACTTCTCTCTTTTCTATAGCAGACCCATTAATCTCTTTTCCTTCACTGAATGAACTGAGGGTCCACTGTATACAATGCACTTCAGAAAACATGAGTAAATCACAGCCTCCACCCTCAAAAAGACTCCTACACAAAACTGAAGAGAAGACACATAAACTACTATTTAGTAAGAATGGATACATATCAAGAAACAAACAGTTTTGGAAAGCTTAATTTTAAGTATAATAGGTTTTACTCCTTTGATGAATCAAAACTTTTCTTAATTTTAAGCAGGTCAGATAAAAAATACGTGTACCTTATTAAACATACAATGAAAAGAGCTAATACTGATTAAGTTTACTTGTATATAAAGTGCCTCACATACTTACCTTCAGTCTTCACCAAGACACTAAGGTGGGTACTATGAAGTGGTTTTACTTTAAAAAGATAACTGAAAAGAGAGATTAACTACCCAAAGTCGCCAGCTAGTAAAAGGCAGAGTTGTAACTCACTCTTTTTGATACTTTATTCACTGATTCAAATGCACTGACTATTTATTGTATACTGAGTATCACACTGGAAAATGAGCAGAAAGGCATAAACAAGACAGCTTATTCATGAAGAACACCTTCTGTTTGAAAACATTTGTTTTCGAACAAATACAATAATAGAATTACAGACTGTCTAAGTTAGAAATAGGTGATGTGACACAATAACTGGGAAAGGCCAACTTCTGTGATGATGTTACAGAAAGGCTTCCTGTCATTTTGTTCACTTAGCTGACAAAATCAAGCTGGCCAGACAGCGAAATTAGGACCCAGAGGAGCAACAGGTAAAGAAGACAGACCACTGCTAGTAAAAATGCAAGGAAGTGGCAAGAAATATCAAGGTGGAAATAGACTTGAAAGTTACAGTGAGATGATCAAGGCTCCAAGCTGGGGCTGAAAAAGGATCTGTGATTTCAGATAACATGTGACAGTATAAACATAGCCTCCGACTAGCGCCAAGAGAATAAGGCTAGATTCAGAAGTAGTCTAACTGTGGTGCTACAGTCTTCAAAGGAGTGCAAACTTTATTACGGGGATAAACATAACTAGACAGTAGGAAAAATAACTTCTCTACAATAGGTCTTACTTGGCTAGTTTTTGGCAGATGTTTGTTTGCAAGATAAGGAATTACATACAGAAATGAAAGACACAACAACTGACTTGGTAACAAATTTTTAAAACTGACCATCGGAGGTGATAACAGGAATACAGAAACCTGGTAAAACCGTTCTGAAATATTTAAAAGGATACCTAAAAGATATCTGCAGAATCCAACATGACGTAGTCCCAGTCCTACTATATTGAATAAAACCAAATGTGTCTGACATTTATTCCACAAACTGCCATGAGTCAATGTTCTCTCTACTGAATGTCACCTATGTTTGATGAACATAAGTGCTACCTTTTTAAGATTTTAATAGGTAAGTGTCAGTACATGATTAAATTATCATTACAAAATGCCATCAAATTTTAAACATGGTGTAACCCACATTATTCTACTTAGATGATACACTATTTTCGAAAGTGAACTAGTTTTTAAGTCCAGGGTCCACACAGGCCTGCAGCAATTAAAAAACGTTAATTCAAAGGACTCGCAGTAGCGTTAGCTTGTTGAGGAGCCCTCACACTATTTTTAGATCGGGCAATGTGCAACTTTTTCCAAAAGATACTAACAAGGTCAAGAATCGTATCCCATGTAAAAACAAGACCTATATACTGTAACAGCTAAGATCTCTTACACTGGCTTATCTACAAGTGTTGTGACCTTAAGAATTTTATTTGTATGTTTATTTTTACATATCATTGTTTTTATTTATTTTCTATTTGAAAATATTTGTTTTAACATTTCATTTTTATTTATATTTTTAGACAACGCAGTGTTAAATTGTACTGACATCCTTTAAAATACCAAAACTCCTTATATTGTACCAGCATTTCATGTTCACAGGGTAATTTGGGTCTCAGAGCAACCTTCTGAAATACATAAGGAAAATTATCATCATCTCCTCTGTACAAGGTAACATTGAAACTCAAAAAGATTAAGATTATAAATCTGACTAATTCAAGATCTGACAAGAACTGGCAAGAGCGGCACAACCACCAAACTTTCCGATTCTGAAGTCATTTCTTCTCCCCTCAGGACATTACCAATTGAATACTGCTGTGCCTTCTTTCAACACACCTGCACTGGAACTGAGAGCCAAACTACTGCAGCCCTGCCTCACTGAGTCTCCAAATGCAGCAGTAACACTAGTAATCCGTAAACACAAACGCACGCTTTGCTCAGGACCCACTCAGAGCTGAGTCTGCTCCACTGCACAACAGTTAGACACTACGGCCTCACACATACCCTTCAGGGGAACTGACCTCACTCCGCGGGAAAATCTCTAAGAGTAAAACGACCTCGCTCCATTCATTTGTTTTAAACTAATACTTCTGCATGCCAAAAAAGAATGAACTACACACACTGCGCTCAACCCCCAACCCCAAAGTTGCTTAAGTGTCAACGCGCGGCAGTAAGACACAAAGACGGGAGGCTGGAACTCGCACTCCGCTCCGCGGCGCCCGCCGCCCGGAAGCCAGGGCATCGCCTCGGCCCCGGGGAGCCGGCAGCGGAACGGGCCCGGCCCAGCATCGCGACGCCGACCCCAGCCC